TCCGGTCTCTGGTCAGGCAAGTCACCGTCGTTAATAAGCCACGCGCGAGTATTTCAGCGACGGTAGAGATCCGGCTTGGTATGGAGTTGAGACGCCGTGCGGTGCAGTGGTTATGGTTGGTGGAGTCGGCTTATTCGGCTGAGAGAGAGGTCGTGTTTCCCCTTTAGATCTTCTCTCGAGGCCGTCATGTTCGTAGTGGCGAGTTGGCTCGCCGTTCGGTTAGGCAGTGGCTTCGGTGCTGTTTTTTCAGTGTGGTGTATGGTTTCTTCGATGGAACCGGGAACCCTTACAGTGTCGTCGGGGTTCGTCTCCATCCACAGTGGATTTTTCACAAGTCGAGGTTGGGTACGTTGGTTTTGTGGGTAGTACCGGTCTCCACAGTCATCTATGGCTCGTGTTGGTGTCCCGAGTTGAGTCCTACACAGTAGTCTATGGCTGTTTCAAGCTCTTTCCGGGGCTCCACTTGTCTTTCCAATTTCAACCAAAAATTGTAACACTTGTCACCTCCTACTTGGAGTACAGTGTGTCACCCCCGACGCGTCCTCAAATAACAATGTGACACCCGTCTCCCTCTCTCTAGGGACAACGGGCCACCAATAATATCTCGTAACATAAAAATTCCAAAATCCTAACTACACTCACCCAAGCCCAAATAAAAATCCGAATAAAAAGTCCAATAGCACCAAGTCCGTCCAAATATCACCTTATTGCTTGTCTCACCTGAAATGGGAAGAAAGAGTGGTGAGCAACTGGGGAGTCACTCAGTGAGGTATGGGATGCTACCCCGAAGTCCGTAGACCCGGACATAGCACTTCGAATAAATATAAATTAATTCTAATATGTACAAACACGGTACCTAAAGTACCCATGCAAACAAACAATGGTCCTAGCGAGACGCACTCGCTGCCCACTATCAGGCCAAAAACACACTTCCGAGAGAGTGCTCGGTGTCACTTCCCTCAGACGCTTTATCGACCACACCAGACTACGGTCCAGCCGGTCGACTGACTGTCCGTAGCCCCTCATACAATCCGAGATACAGAAATCCGTCTCTGTATCCGGCCAAACAATTCTAACTAAAGTTTACATAAAGTGAAGCAATCAATGTTGAATCCTCTAACACCCTAACTCCGGTATAAGCAAACAACCTAAAAACTAAACAAACAATAACAAACTCGATTTCACGCAGATAGAACATAATATAAATAAGTTATATTTATTTAAAGTTCTAAGTCGCGTACGAATCGCTCGGAATTAGACCCTCACCTTAGCAATTGAGAAAAGTAGTATCTATGAACTCCAGCTGCTCAAATAGATCCCAAATCTGAAATCAAATCGAAATTCCGAGTTAGAATGACCATCGAAAGGTCGAAAACGAGCAATTACGGAAAAGTCAACTCGCAGGTCAAAGGTCAACCCGATCAACTCTGACCCAAGCCGGTCAACTCTTGACCAAATTGAAATCGAATTGGACCAACCGGTTTTCCTTAACCGGATTCGATTTCAATTGAACCAGAACCAAATCGATTGCAATCCGGTTTACTCCTAACCAAAATTCAATTGATTTAAACCATCGGTTTACCTTAACCAAATCGCAATTAAATTAAACCGGTCAAACCAGTCAAACCAACCGGTCGACCGAGTCACCAGTGCGAGCACTTTGTTAGTTTAGCAGCCCCTTCTCTTTTGGAGTCGTGCTTTCTCTGTTGGTTCACTCATGACACAAGTGGATTGTTTGTGAGGCACATTCTCCGCTTCTTTGGTTCTTGAAAACGGCAAAAGGCATCACGGATTTGGTCTTTTGGTGGCGGTGTCTCTCTTGTGTTCAGCTATCATCCCAGTGCCGGTGAAGGGTCGCTTGATTCGTCATTGGTAGTGTAGCTAGTTGATTTGTGTGCAGGTCGTTAGAGCTCTCTAGGATTGGTGTGTGGCTTGGAGTCAGGCCTATTTTGTGTATCGGTTTAGTGACAGCGATAGCGAGCTTCAAGTTTGGTTGGGAGGCAGTTTCAACCGTTGTGTACAAGTTGGTTTTGGTGGCAATTAAAAATCTCATGGTATGTACCTGAAAATCTTCTCATTTGTCGTTTGGAGCGTCATATTTAGAGATGGTTTACAAGCATAGTAGAGTTCTTTGGGAGCTAGCTACTCCGGAAACAACATGAGAAGTCCCAGAATCCAAGGCAACGATACCTCACCTTCTAGTAATTATCGTTAACGGTTGAGAACGGTAACCAATTCTAAAGAATTACGAAAGACTGATTAGGAGAACGTGCCGGATTTAGTGGGTGGACGAAACTAATTTTGTTATAGTTTGACTTTAGAAATTTTGTACAAAACTTGCTTGTAACAAGTTCTGAAATCCTATATGAGTAGAATTAATAAATATAAGTATTGTTTTAAAAAAAAAGGTTCGAACAATGAAACTATATTGCATCAGAATGCAGTACATAGTTCGAGAACTTTTTATGTTAGTGTAAAGATGACACCACAATAGTAATGCAAAAGATAACTCAAGAGACAAAAATAGATACAAACAACCACAATGATTTATTAGAATTTCCTTTAAACAATCTATTACAAGATCTGCTTATTCAGTTTATACACGTCTAGTGTTAACATCCTAACACATGTTACTGAAAGATTCCTAAGCTACTCGCTTATGTCTCTCTACCATCAAGTACTTCAGCCACTTCTTTAACATGACCCAGTAACACTTCTAAGAGTTTTTTTCTCTCTGTATAAGATCAGCTTTTGTGCCTCTGTCTCTCTATAGATGACTCCATAGCTATCTTATAGTTATTCTCCACGTTCCCGAAACCCTAGTCTCCAAGGTAACATGTATGGGCATCATCCATATCAATAAGTGCAACTTTCCTTTCCTTGGAATACACTTTTCTTTTTCCTTGAAGTCATAAAATTTCTCCTCCTGTTTATTTCTTTTTCCATATCTCCAAGATACATCATTACTCTCCAAATCTACACGACTCCAACTCAGCACTTGACTCCACATAATCTTTACCACTTAACACAAAATCTTCTTCAGCAACTAAGTCATCGACTATTTCAGGAAAGAGATCTTACATCAACAGTTTATACTTTCCCGTGCTTAAAAATGATGTTTGATGATAAAGACTAAAGAGCATGTTCATCGAGGATTTGCTTTGGAAGCTCTGTGGCATCAACATTGTTGATTGAAACCATTCGTTAGTTTTAAAATATTTTTTGAAAGTAAGAAAATTTTATTTTTCTGTTTTCCAAATTCCTTTAGTCACCTCCTAGAAAATTGTTCTCCCAGATTGTTTGAAAAACTCATATAGATTTAACATTGATTGAAATTCCCTCAAATCATCAGTCCAATAAGCCCCTTAAGTTAACAACTTTTTATCAGTAAGTTTAACTATCTATATGTTTCACGTGAGATCAATAAAGAGATCAGAAGACAGTAAAATTCAAGTAATCCATAAGACGTGTGTGAATATGATATGGGCAAAAAGATGGGTAAATGTTAGCAAATGACGGAACGAGAGATGGGGAAATGACTCAGTGAGTCATGATAGCACGTGCTTACGCAATCTTAAATTCAACAGACAGAGACTGGAACATAATTTGCGTGACTCCCACTTACCACTGTCGTTTGCTTTTCCCCTTTCTGTCCATTCCTTAATTAATCATAATTCATGATTCATCCCCCTTTATGTTTGTTATTTTTTAGTATTTATAAAGTTAGATTCATGATCTAGTGTTAGTAACTAGATTTTGTTCTTTTCAGCCACACATATATAATATTTTAACATCTTTTCTATTTTGGTACATGATCGTTGGACATATAGGTTACACAACTTAATCATGTTACTGCTGAGTGTATTCAGTTTAATATACTGAAGGTGTTTATTATATGCTCGCAAGTTTATCTGCCAGTCTGTTGTGTAGTAGAAGTCTTATCCCGCAATTTGTTATATGTCCACCATTGAATTTGTTATACGTCATTGATTAGATTATCCATGGAGATGTTCTTTGGTTGCAGTCTCTTTCTGTGACTATTTTTCAACGATAATTTCAACACCATAAATTGTGCACTGCTGACATTTAGTTGATCCGAAATGAATATGTTGATATTTAAGGATTTTGAACATTAAAATCCAGTATCACGATTGCTAAAATTTTGATAATTACATCCATAAAGCAAATCTGATCCGATGGTTGTACATTTTGGGAAAATATTCTAGACAATGATTATCATGGCATGGTCAAAAGGCCAGTTGATAGCTTGCCATTTCCGCAATACGATAAATAAAAGTTTAGTTACTTCTAAAAGAAATACTAAGAAAATATGTGAAAATTGAAAAGTAAAGACATATAGTTAAGTGTTTAAATGAAAAGCTGGAACCGTCTTTCAATGTTGTATTACAATTTCTTAACAGGTTGGGTGTTCTAAACCACTACAGCTACGAGATTTGAATTTTTGTGGAAACTCCTTCAATATCGAGATGACATCCACTAGCCCACCGTAATTTAGGTCACCAGTACGGTTATCTATGTTGGTTTTTTCTATATAGAGTTGGATAATCTGGTTCTTTCTTGATATTAGTTGATTATACATAGCAAAGTAGAAAAATACATGTAATTTAGTACTTTGTGTTACAATTAATTAGTTTCTTCCACTGGTGATTCTATGTACATAATTTCATTATTTTTCTTATGAAATATAAAAAATATCAAAGAGATAGATATGTCTAGCACCATATGGTCATTATATTCCTAGGAAAATAATGAATATTATATTGTGGATTAATTTTAAAGTTCAGATTAGAAATCAAAAGTTGAAAGCATACGTTAAAATATAAAATAAATTTTATTTCCAAAAAGACATTAAAAGAAACAAGAACATTGATTTAGCCCCATCAACAAGTTAGTCTATGACTCACCTAATTGAATAAAGTCAATCCACAGGAAACCGATTGATTCAAATGCTTAAGTACTCTTTTTCAAGTTGACCTCAGTTAGTTTGAACTAGACCCCAAATAACCAAGTTGTTCAATGAGCACATCAACATTTTCTTCATCTCCTTCAAAATCAAAATTTTGACCTTCATTTAACATATCATCCCAAAAACCCTCACCATAAATCTCATTGTTCTTCTTTTGGTACCCTTCTTGTTCTCCTTCTTCATTTATTTTTTCCACATTCAAAACTTCTTCTTTAGTGAACTGCTCTCCAAGTCCTTGAATATGCATAGCAAGACTGTCCAACTCGGACATCTGGAATCCAGAAAAGTCTCCATACGTTCCTTGTTTCCTGTACGCTGAAGAGGATCCAGCATCATCATTTTCATACCTTCCATAACCACCTCCACCACCACCCTCATCATCATAATCTTCCACAGTAACCACATTTCTTGTCCCTTGGTCGATTGGTCTTTGTCTCTTCTTGCTGATTGCTTCTTCCATCTCCTTTCTTTTCTCTTTCTGCTCCATGAGTTGCTGAAGGAAATCCGGATTCTGCATTGCGCGGGCGAGGAAGCTCATCATTTGCTGTTGTTTTGATTCAGTCCTCTTGAGCTTCTCTTCAATCAATTTGAGATACATTTTGGTGCTTTGTTGTTGCTGTCTCAGTTTCACTAGCTCCATCACCAGTACTTGTTTGTCTCGCTTTAGGCTGTCCATCTCTCTATCTAGACCATACCTACCAACTTCTATGCAACAGTTTTCTAGAGATTGATGTTGAGAGGATGATTGAGGTGGTTGCATTTGATTATTGTTACTTGTCTTTCTTCTCCTTATTGTCTTGAGGAGATGCTTTTGCCCTCTAAGAAACCCTTCATTTGCAAACTCCCATCGATCCGGATTCACTTTTCTGAAACCCTATAAATAATATTTTATGATTAGGTTCAACTCCAAATTCGTCTTAATCAAAATTTATTATTTCACAAAGCCAAAACCATTCCTGAACTCTAATAATGCATTTTATGCAACTAGAGATAAGAGATTTTCATATATTGTACTTCATTTGTGTATAAACTTGTATATATGAATGTCATATAGACAGGTAAACAACTTGTGCTGTAGAGATTTTTCTTTGGAGATTTGAACAAACAAATGTTCAAAATTTGAGTAAGTTTCTTTTCAAATTTTCAAGAGATCTCTAGAAACAAAAAGAGACAAAAGTAAACAAGTGGGCTGTTAAATATTATGTCTCGAGATTTTTGGGAGAACAGTGATGCCCACTTGCATTTATATATACACACACTCACGAATCCTTCGAGCAATCATGTATATAATAATTAACACTAATTAACTCTGATGATATCAAAAGAGACGCCGAGAAAAACACCAATCAAAAGCCAAGTCTCAAGAACTTGGTTCAAAATTTGACTGCACCAAAGGGAATGAGAGAAAAATCTATAAAATCAAGCTTTTGACACAATAGTTGATGCCACGATTTGATTGTCAGCTGTTAGATCTATTCAGATTCGTGCCATACACAGAATCACATAAACACACACATAGAGAGAGATTAGAACTTACATATGTGTTGAGCTGGCGAACAAAGCTAGAGAAGTTATTATGCTTGAAGAATCTGGGGAGGAGAGTGTTGGAAAAAGCTTGTGGATCCCAGACAATGAAACTGTTTTTGGCTTGGCTCCAAGACACAACATGATTGGTTCTTGAATCTTCCACCAAGTCATATGTCTTTGTCAGAAATGGAGGTGGGCCTGATTCGTGGAGACCTTCTATTGGCTGTGGAGAGGTTGATGTTGTTGCATCATTTGGGGCCATGGAGATTGAATAGAGGTAAGAGGAAGTTGAAGAAAATGGTGGTGATGGAGAATCATTGAATCCAGTAGGTAACTCCTCTTTTATGAATCTATATGAAGGATCCATACCAGATTGAATAAAGTTTAAATGTCTTGATGTGGGTTTAATTGCACACTAAATTTGGAACAGAGGAAAATGTGAAATACTTTTAGAGAAACTGAAATTGAAAGGTTTTAAACTTTGGAGAAAATTGCACAGGGAGATTGTGTGTGTTGGGAGTTTGGGGATGTGAAGATGAAGTATATATGGAGAAGATAGGAGAAATGAGAGAAAGAAAGAGGGAGACACAAGGAAGCAAAAGGGTTTGTATTATATTCATTTTTTTTATGAACTTTTGGTGATGGATTCCTTCTTTATTTTAAGAAAATTATTAAAAGCTTTGCTTTTGTTAATCTGCGCTTTGTGTTGGCATCTAGATAGTTTGACATGCTGGAGCTAAACGCAAATCCTGAGATATTTTCTCTACTCCCTAATGTGATGAGTCACTCTTTTCATTTTTATATGCAAAATTTGGAAGACTTTGATCAATAGCCTCTAATTAATATGAATTCGTGTTGTCTTGTGATTGGCTCGGAATAAATTAGTGCATGTATACACCCGTCAAGATCCTTCTTACTTTACATAAATGTGATCATTTTCATGAAAGTTATTGGACGGGGATCGACGTTTTAAATATCCAAAATGTTGACCAAAAAAAACAAAAAAACCAAAATACAAAAACTTAAGCTAACTTCTTATAACTTCAAATTAAAGACTTGTATTTTAATCTGAGAGTACTCGAATTATAACATCACAACTAGATTTGATCCACGAGCTGATTATTTACATTTTTATATATTACTATTATTTAAAATTTTAATAATTCATACTTTAGTATTTACCATTTAGTTAAATGAATATATTTCTAATATATATATATATATAATTTCTAAAATAAAAAGTTGAATAACTTATAAGCTATAATTTAACTTAATTTAACTTATTATTATAAACTATAATTTTTTATTATATATAAATTTAGATTTGCATTTGATTGTTAAAAAAATGAATACATGACTGAAACAACACATATAAAGATTATTTTGTATTAAATTTATATATTTTATAAGTTTTTTTTCAAAAGAGTTATATATCTATATATAAAAAAAGAATTGCAGTTTTTCTTTATAAAAACATATCCAATACAAATTTGGAGAATTTTCATATTTATCACATTGTTGATACTATTATTATTGTTTACTTTCATTAAAGAGATATTTTTATAAATATCTTCTTTATTAAAAGGCAAAAGAATCTTATACCATCCTTTATATATATAATAAATAATTATTTAAATAAATGAATAATAAAAAATATATAAATTCAAATTAAGATTTTCAAGCGCGATTTTTTTATAATTTTTTTCTGAATTTGTTTTTGATTTTTTATATATTTTTTTTGAAATTCAAAATTTCTTTTTGAAACTATTTTATATATTTTTTATTATTTTTTAATTTATATTTTATTTATATATTTAATAGAATATTAAACTTCACATTTAAAAATTCTATCCTACCCCTTAACTCTAAACCGTAAATTTAGATTAATTAATCTTAAGTTATAAGGGTTATTTTACCTATTTAAAAGTGGATAAACATGAACATGGGAAATTGCCAGATATAACACTTTCAAGATACCACTTTTCAACTTTACACTAACTAACTTTACCATTAAAATTTTAAAAGGCAAAATACTATTATACCCTTAAATAATACCATTAAAATTTTAAAAGGCAAAATACTATTATACCCTTAAATAATTAAGTTAACAATTTTAATAAGGTTTGATGGATTAGAGTTAAGAGTTTAGAATTTAGGGTTTAAGATTTCGAATTTAGGGTTTATGGTATAGAATTTAGGGTTTAGGGTTTAGAATTTAGGGTTTAGGGTTTAGAATTTAGGGTTTAGGGTATAGAATTTAAGATTTAGGGTTTAGGGTTGATAATTTAGGGTTTAGAGTTTAGGGTTTAGAATTGATATTTTAGGGGTTAGGGTTGATTTTTAGGGTTTAGGGTTTGAATTTCGAAAAAAATAATTTTTTCTTTTGTTTTTTGTGTTTTTATTTATATAAAGAACAAGGGTATAAGAGTCCTTTATCCTTTAATGAAAAGTGTATTTTTGAAAATGTTTCTCTTCTTAGGGTAAATGTGAATTAGTGTACCAAAGAATGTGTATTTATGGAATTCTCCCCATGAACAATGGTACTTTAAGCAATTTTCCATAGTTATTTTATATGGAATTTTCATGTTTACCACATTGTTGGTACTATTATTCATGTTTACCATCACTAAAGAGATAATTTTGAATAGAGATAATTTCATTTTTACTTTTGGTTTGGTACAATTATTCATGTTTATTGTTTTCTAAATGGACATTTTAAAAAATAACTAAATATGAGACTTTATTAAGGAAAAAAAATATTTCTATATCCTTGATTTATAAATACAAATAATTCTTTAAACAAATAAAAATAAATCCAAAAATTTAAAAGTTTTCAGATTATAACTTTTCAGATTTCGAAATTTTTAATGATTTATTAAATAAAAAATTTCAGATATCTTTTTCAAATTCAGAAATACATTTTAAAACTATTTTAAATGTTTTTATTTTAATTATAAATATTTATATATATTTTTATTAAAATTGTAAACCTTACAATCAATGGTAAATGTTTTTCATTTTTTACTTTAGCTACATTTAATCTTGGTTATAAAGACGTAATAATAACTCTAGGGTTATAGGTGTCTATTACCTCCTTACAACCAAAGGAATTATGTGATAAGGTAAAGATCAAAAAAATGTATTAAGTGTTAGAATAGGCAAATTTCCTTTCAAAAATACTTTCTTCATTAAGAGATAAATGACTCTTATACCCATACTCTCTCTATATATAATAAATAATTATTTAAATAATAATAAAAAATAATTTCTTTTTATGTTTTCGAAATATAATTTTTCAAATTCGAACTTTTTATAACTTCTTTAATTTTTCGTTTAATTTTTTTCAAAGTTTATTTTTGAAATTCGAAAATCATTCTCTAAACTATATATATATATTTAAATTAAAAAAATATTTGTAAGTACCTATTTATATATCTATTAGAATTTTAAACTCTACATTCAAAAAAAATATGCATCCCTTAACTCTAAACCCTAAATCTAAATTAGTTAACACTAGGGTTATTATTACTTTTTGCTCTTTAAAAGTGTGTGTAAAAGTGGTTAAGGTAAACTTGAAAAGTGGTATTTTCACAATTTCTCTATTTTCAGTGTATCTTGAAATAGTGATATATGTATAAAATATAATTTAAATTACGTTTTCGTTACTTCAACTCTTTTCATTATGATTTTTAATGAATCTCTGCAATTTATTTGATTAACTATATCATATATTTTTGATAAATTTTTAATTATAAAATTTATTTGATGTGTTGTTCAAAAAGAAAAAAAAAATATTTGATGTCAATTTATTGCATTTTCTTTATATACAGTATTTATTTTAATATGAAAATTCATTGACAAAATTGTAATATTATTTCTGAAAATATAGATAAATAACCCATTAGTGTAGTTAGATTGGAATTTATTGAATTATTTTGTAGTATCTTCTTTTCTTTTCTTTTTTTGTCGACATTCTGTAGTATCTAATCCTATAAAAATAAGTAATATCTATTTCAAAATTTTCAGAAATTACTTGAATGTTTTAATTATTTGATTTATCAGATAACTTATAAGTAAATTTACAAAAGTTATTAAAAAGAGAAGACCTAATGTTTATTTTTTGATTTAAAAAAAATATTTGAATGTTTTAGTTAATTATTTGATAAATCAAATAATTTGAAAAAAAGTTATTGAAAGATAAGATCTAATGTTATATATAGGGTTTGGATACAAGATTAATTATTATGTTGTTTGGAAATATAAAATAGTATAATCTGTTTTAAAGTTATTTATAATAGAGGGGTATATTTAATTGAAAATCATACAAAAAAATGTTGGATCTAAGTTAATGTTTTTATTTTAATAAGAAAGATGATGGTTTTACAAATGTTGTCAATCAACTTGTAAACATGTGTAAATATTCGTTCTTCTTCTTTTTTTTTTTTTTTTTTTTTTA